GGCTACCAGACAAGTCGTATGCTGTCGCAATGAGTGCGACACTGATGGTTGCATTGCACTCTGCGGATACAGTTCCGAGGTGCCCAATGACAGCCACTTCATTGCATCCTCAACCCGCCATGCTTGCAAGGCGTGCTATCGTGCACGCATGCATTCCAAGGAGTCTCAGGATCATGGTACATCGAGTACATCCTGGGACCAAGACTGGGGGGATGATCAATGGAATCACGGCGACAGCTGGAACTGGTGGCGTCGAGGAGGATACTAGTTGCATCCTCCATCGTGCATTCTTGCACTTTTCTCCATTTTAACAATGGGCTGCTCGTGTTTTCCATTGACGGCCCAGGAGGTAGATTCAGGTCTCCCCCACAGCTTCGGCAGCCACCTTGGTGCCCGTATCCGACCTCCCAGCGAGGGAGTGAAAAGAGTTCTCGGATCGGAATGATTGTATTGCCAGCTTGCATCTGCTGAGTTCGGACCTTTGCGGTTATGTCTTTCAACACTACAGTGTTGCATTCTTTTGGCCCCAGCGATTGCCATCCTTAGGCATTCTTGTGGACGGCATGTCACGACACTTTCTCGGAGTGCATTCTTACATCCACAGCACGACTTACATTCTCCAAGGCACTTGCATCTGTGCTTGTCAAGCTCTCTGGTAGCTAATACCAATTTTGCGGGAGTACACGAGTGCAGCCTTGGCTTTCTCGGCGACTGGTGCATTAGCACCATTTACAGGCCTGAGGTCAGTGCTTTTCTTCTCTTATTCCTTGGTGTCTCTGCCAGGTCATCTTCTTTTGGGAGTATGTCGTCCCCCAGCTTGGAACAAATCCTCAAAGAGGAGAAAGTTCCGGATCTCATTGCAGGGCAGCTCACTTCGCAACTCACGGCGCTCCTTTCCTTGCATTTGCGAAGGTGTGGAAAGTCTGCCAGACTGCATCAAGGATGTCTTGCACGCCTCGGGCCAAGCTCTCCTTACGACTGTCACTCTGGCGTGCTTGAAGGCAGCATACCATCGCTGCATTTCTTCCGTTATTTCGGCGACCCCCTCAGCTACGTCAGCACCTCCTGCATCGGGCGGTGGAGCTCTCAGTACATCTTCGTGGACAGAGTCTTTTCCAGCGAAGTTGAGCATTGAAAGAGTGAACGCCATGAGAGCTACATTCGAAGCTTCATATCCCTCCGAAATTCTCGATGCATCCAGTATGCCCTCGTGCATCCTGCAACAAGCAAGTCCAGGACAAGCACTTTTCTTACCTTCCATGGAAATTTCGTCTCAGTGAAGAGAAACAGGAAGATGTTACATCATCCAGGCCGAAAAAGATCGCACGTCTCGACGACTTCATTTTTGACGACGTCCCTTGCAGGGAGATAGCTGATACTGGCATGTCGCAAATGTTCCTTTCGCATTTGTTAGACCTGATCGCCTTTGCATCTTGTTTGCTCCTCAGCTCCTTTCGTGCACACAACAAGCTCTTCATAAAGCTTGCATTCCATCGTCCGCCGCCAGAGTCAGGGCTGCGAAGTCCGAACGTCACGGAAATGCAGGCGGCGGACAGAGAAGCGTTTCCTGCGAATTGGTAAACAAAGGTTGGGGCATGGATGATGCATTCCATGAGATCGTGCAAGTACGTTGCATCCTACAGAGTCACCTACAGCCGCGAGTTTTCATTCAGAAAACCAGAAGTGCTCAAAGTCCATCGTGATACATCCAATGAGCCAACTACACCGTTGCCCTGGGTGACTTTTTCGGGGGAGGTTTATTGCTAGAATCTTCATCGGGCAAGAAATCCATGCGAGTCGAAGCTTTGTAGAAGTGCATAAATTTTTTCATTGATACCAGAACATCGTCTTGCATTCGATGGTCTTTGGTACACGCCACTCATCTGACATTGATGCATTGTGCATGTGGGGGCTCCTTTACCTGGTGCATCCTCACCTCATCGGATGCCTCCACCTCAGGCGGTCGAACTGCCTCAGTCTGTTCTGCCGAAGAAATTCTGCCTTTTGCTGGCTTCACAGCACAATAAGGTTCTTCGTCTCTCAACTCCAGGTATTCCTCATGTGCATTCAGCCGTTGATCAGTATTGCATCTTACGATGTGATGGAAAAGCTTTCTCAAAAGCAGGCACCATAAACGATCGACAAAAGCCGACTAACGCATGTCAGAGAGACACCTGCCACGTCTGGCTCAGTGGGCAGACTTCGTACAAACTTGCTGATTGGAGTCCTTCCACACAATTCAACAGCAGCACTCTTGAGAGATTCCGCTGTCAATGCACGCACTGCATGGGAACCAGGCCACGTCCCCCAGGACCGCTCCCCTCCTGTTTGTGAAGCAAGTGCGGGTTTCAGCGTGCCTATGTCTTGGCAGTCTCTGCGAGGGCAGGTGCTTAGGCTTGAGACGTAGTTTGTGTGTGTCATCATTGCGCAGTGGCCATTTATCTCTTGGTTTGTGCCACTTTTGCGCAGTTTCGTGCGTTGCTGAATGAGTGCCTCGCAAGTGGCTCAATGCCAATGTGAAGATCTGCTCAGAAGTCACGCACCGGAAAGTAGCACACGTGATGTGGCTGCCATTGCCCGACAGTGAAAGCAGTGGACGTGATCATGCCGCCCTGGCTCTAAAGTGCTGCGGAGGCCCCTTCTATTGGCAGCCAATGCCAGGTTTTGCCTCCAAAAAGCCGTTCCGCTTCCTAAGGGCCGCGTTTTGCCCTTGTCACGTGGAAGCAGCAGACGTGATTTTGCACCCTGCCTTCGGAGGCTTAAACTGCAGAAGCTCCTTGCTTTGGCAGCTAATGCCTGAGGTTTTGCCTCCAAAAGCCGTTCCGCTTCCTAAGGGCCGCATTTTGCCAAAAGTGGAAGCAGTAGACGTGATTGTGCGGCTCTGGTCTAAAGTGACATCATCAGACTGTCAAGCTTCCAACTGCTGTTGAGACTGAGACATGAACGTGGTTTGTGCATGTCACCCTTGCGCAGTGGCCATGCTTATCTTGTGGTTTGTACGTATCACCCTTGCGCAGTGGCCATGCTTGTCTCGAGCTTTGTGCGTACCCCTTGTCACTTGTGCAGTGCAGCGGCGGTCGTGCATTTGCGCGGAATCCCTGTGCTAGTGTCCCGCAGAACCAACAGCGGGCTTGAACTACCTCGCACACACGCACAAGGTACAAGGTACTAGCTCGGCACGCACTCACAAGGTACAAGGTCATGCTCATGTCAGAGTTTGATTGGTTTTTGAATCTTTGCACTTGCAAAAAATGCACGCTTTTGCGCAAACATGTTGAATGTGCCTGTCTGTGACGGGCTGTGGTGCCCTTGGGCAAAGCGGCCCAGAGAGGGCTATGCCGCCCGCTTCGTTGAGCTTCCGCATGCCGGCCGAATCCTCAGCCTCCACCGAGACAGTCTTGCAAGAAGCTTGAAGCACCACTTTCTGTTTTGAGGGTCTTTGAAGAAGCTTCCCTAACCCTAAACCTCGGCAAGTTCTGTCAAAGAAGCTTGTTTTTTAAGGCTCTGATGCCCACAGTCTTCATCTCGAGTCGCAGCCTTGGCAAGTCTTTGAAGCACCCCCGCAAACCCTAAACCTCGGCAAGCACTTTGTTTTTGAGGCTCTGATGCCCACCGTCTTGATTTCTTCTTTGAAGAAGCAAACTCCCCAAAACCCTAAACCTTTAAAACTTAGACCGTGACAGTCTTCAACTCTGTTGACAGCCGTGGTAAGTTCTTTGGAGAAAGAGCCTAAACCGTGACAGTCTTCAACTTCAGTGACAGCCTTGGCAAGTTCTTTGGAGAAGCTCTTGAAAGACGTCTTTGTGGGTCGGAGAAGCTTGAAGCAGTTCGTTTCTGAGGTCCGTCAAGCTTCAAATCTCGATTGCGTGACAGCCCAGGTCTCAAGTGTGCCTGTGAGCTCTCAGAGACTTCGGAGTACAGTCCGTTTTGTTCGCACATGTTGTGAATGTCATCCTTGCGCAAAGACTATGCGTGTTTTCACAGCTCTAAACCCACAAGGCATCAAACTGTGACAAAACACCAGCGTTCCAGTGATTGCACACGAGTAACGTGTGGCCCGCTTGACAGACGGGTGCCCCGTACAACGCTAGAGCCCTCAAGGTCTTCAGTTCTTACTTCCCCGCGCTCCGTTTGGCTATTAATATTATAAACAGCCAAGCGGGGTGCAGGGACGTAAAGCGTGATGTCTATGGGAAAACCAGCATGTGGGCGCCCCAGAGGGGGACGTAAGCCCAAAGGAAGCCCAAAGGTGGAGGGACGTAAAGTGTGATTTCCATGGCAAAAACCAGCATGTGGGCGCGCCATAGGGGGACGTAAGGCCAAAGGTAGAGGGACGTAAAGCGTGATTTCCATGGGAAAACCAGCACATGGGCGCTAGCGCGGCCAGCATGTCCGGATGTAAACGGCTTTTTTGGATAGAGAGTTTGACGAGGGACAGACTGGAGACCACTAGTAGTGATGTTTGGCCCCAGCACAGTGAGCAGGACGTTGCCTGGATATCGTTTGCAAGTAACAGCCTGGAGCCCAAAGCCAGTGCTTCAGGCCTGCTGTCGGTAATCAGCCGTGTGAAGGCCCGCAAAACACGTGGTCCTGCAAACTTGTTTTATTGGAAGATAATTCTATCCTCCCACAGCGTTTTTGCAGGACCGCCCTCCCCACCTTGCAGCTTTGCATCTGGTGTGGTCCTGCACGGTCCTGCGCTAATGGTTTTCCCAATAGAAGAGAGGCTGTAGTTGGTCCTGCCCCGTTCCTGCGCAGTTTTTGGGCAAGTTTTTCCAACAGAATGGACAACCGACAAGTGCCACACGACAGACTACGTGCATTCAATGCTGCATGCATGCGCCAGGCAGCTGCCACACCACAAGGATCGGTGGTCCCTCATCCTGCGATCCGTGCCCTTGTGCTTTGTGAAGGAACCCGAAGATGAGTGGATCGCAAGCTGGAACAATCGCAATGCCATCGCTCAGGATTTTGAGTCCTTAGGAAGAACAGCATTTCAGATGGCCCAAGAGATGAAGCTGCTGAAGAAGCGTTTGGAGAAGGAGGCGAACAGAGCATTGTCAAACACAGATTTTCAAACGCAAATCAAGGAGTCGGGCCTCAAGAAAGCAAGCAGCCAAGATGACCTGTCGACGAATCTCATTTGCACCGCACTTGCAGTGGCTGAGAAACTGACAGGCGAGGAAGTGCTGACAACAATCAGAGATTTGGAAGACAGGTATGGCAGAGGCAGTTGCCTGAATTCCATGCAGAAGCTGCACGCATTGGCGACAAAGACAACTCCAGCCAAAAGGAGCTTTATCTTCCAAGCTCTACGGGACATGATTTTCCGCAACATGCTTGAAAATGATGATGTCAGCAAGTCTTTCCTGGTGGGGGACGGGCACAATACATGCGGTTTCATTGCCCTGACAGAACTGAAGCTGGACTGTTTGGCCCACTTCAAGGCGGTGGTCTTACCCCGAGCCCAGATCCGTGAACAGGACCGCGTCGTCATTGGAGAAGCATTGCTGGACCATACGACATATAACAAAAGAATGCTGGGTGATGACGTGGCTTGGCAGGGCATGCTGCTGGAGTCGAGCATGCAAGCCCTCAGATTTTTAGAGGTGCGTCGGGGGTGGAAAAAACCCTTAATTAGGTCCAAGGCTTGCATTGTAAACCCGAGACCTTATAGACCTTTAAACCTGAACCCGAACATTTTTTTTGCTGAGACCCTAAACCCTAAACCCCTAAACCCCGCAATATTTCTTAGATGCAGCAGGATCTGGTCTACAGCAAGAAGTACGACCATCACCTGAGGCAGCTGGCTAAAGGAAAGAAAAGCATGGAGGAGGTCATGGAAAACGAGGCCCTGAAAGAGAAGTGGGGCCAAATCGAGCAGCTGAGAACAAACGAGCTTGCAGAGGAGAAGGTCAAGCTGCGGCGCGAAGCCGAGCCCGAGGAAACGCCGGAAGACCCAGACCACGCTGCCCACAAATCTCCTCCAGCCCGTCCAAAGTGCCTGATATGCGCCGCCTGCCTGTCAGTGTTGGAGAATTGTTAAGCAGTCAGCGAGGCACGGTACGTGCCCGCCCGGGCAAGCAAGGCCTGGTGCGCATCCTCCGCACCTGGTGCCGACAGGTACATCAGTGCCACTTTGCATCTACGGTGGCGCCTACGAGGCCGCCGATAGCTAAGGCTCTTTGCAGTTGGGCACATCGGTTTCTGCCTTGGCAAGGGGTGCTTTGTTTTGTCCTCTGCTGCATCTGGTGCCGCCAGGTAGGTCCCAGCATTTGACAGTTGCTCGCCCCTTGGTGCATTGAATTCCAGTCTGCGAGTGCCCTCCTTGACTTTGAGCCTGCATTGCCTTTTAGCATCCTGTGGCTTGAAGTATCAGAGGTAGCTTGCGACATACGTCGCTCGCTCTTGGTCCCCTTGGCGGCGCGCCCTATGGCCTCACATGGACTGATGAGCAGGCAGGCCATTGCCATCAATCTTGCCGAGCTCCCGTCGGAGCCGGCGTCAGAAGGCGAGCATTTGTCAGTGGGAATAGGCTCAGTTCAGCCGGAGACTCAGCAGTCCCATGCGGGAATTCAGCCCAAGCCGACCAAAGCTCCTCAGTTGCTATACGGAGAGGACAGCGCCCCCGACTGGGTGCCTAAGCATGGCTTCGGGCGCTCCCAACCCCGTTGTAACGCGGCTGACATACGTCGCCCGCCTATTTGAGCCTCACTATATGCTGACAGGTACTCGCCATGAGATGAATATGCTTGCCATGTGACGCTTTCACCAGTCCAGCTGTCCCGGCTGCTCAGGGTGTATAGTCTGCGGCCAGCGCTGGTTTGTGGCTGGCACGGTCGCCGGACGCGTAGCCACTGCGCGCTGGCAGGCTCATATCTCCCTTGGAAGGTAAACCGGTGTCGGACTTGGCGAGCTCTACGCCATGTGAATCTGCTGGGTATGGTGCCGCCAGGTAGCTACGCCGCCATTTACGGTTGCCTGCCCCTTGGCGCCCCAAATCCAGTCAGTGCTTCCCGCCCCTTAAACGGCAGCTGGCATACGCCATCGGGGGGGGCCTGTAGTTGTCCTGGCTGCCTAGGTGATCTCGCCCGGAGTTAACACATGCGTGCCGCGGCCTGAGCATCCTCGGCAATTTAGCCCTGATCGGATTGGTCACTTGTGCTTCAGTCCTGGCTCGTGGGCCCCAATAGGCGCCTGCTTACCCTGTCGAGCATGGAATAGGGTTTGGTCCTCGGGAGGGGGGGGTCACGGGCCTTGCCAGGGCCGCCAGCCTTTCGAAAGTGCCTGATATGCGCCGCCTGCCTGTCCGTGTTGGAGAATTGTCAAGCATTCAGCGAACCACGGTACGTGCCCGCCCGGGCAGGCAAGGCCTGGTGTGCATCTTCCGCACCTGGTGCCGACAGGTACCTCAGAGCCACTTGTTCGTATACGGTGGCGCCTACTAGGCCGCCGATTGCTAAGGCAAGCACCGAACTGGGATTTCTCGTGGGGGGGGGACTTCTACCTGCTCCTCTCCGCGACACCCTCCTATGACGCGTTGCCACCTTTGCACAGACTTATGGCATGGTCGTTGGGCTCTTAGATTCTGCAGTTTGCCAGGCTCTTTGCAATCGGGCACATTGGTGTCTGCCTTGGCCAGAGGTGCCTTGTTTGTCCTCTGCTGCATCTGGTGCCGCCAGGTAGACCAAGCATTGACAGTTGCTCGCCCCTTGGTGCATTGACTTCTTGTCTGCGAGTGCCCTCCTCGATTTTGAGCCTGCATTGCCCCTCAGCATCCTGTGGCTTGAAGTATCAGAGGTAGCTTGCGACATACGTCGCTCGCTCTTGTTCCCCTTGGCGGCACGCCCTATGGCCTCACATGGACAGATGCGTAGGCAGGCCATTGCTATCAATCTTGCCGAGCTCCCGTCGGAGCCGGAGTCAGACGGAGCCGGTGCCGGTACCGGCCAATGAGCCGATCGGTGAACGCGTCCACAGGGAGGCCACGGACTTGTTCAACCGTTTGGTCTCCCAGGAAGTCTCCTGTGCAGTTGCTGACACACTGGCAAGAAGGGGCATTTTCATGAACCTGGCTGTTACTTGCGTCGAGCCTGCAGCAGTCACCCAAGGGTCCATGGCTATCTATGTGCGACCTCTGGCGCCCCGAGAAGGCGAACACCCTTGGACCGTCTACGTTAGCCAGGACTTAGCGGATGAAGGCTCAGCAGCCGAGGAGCCTAGTGATGCTGCCGGGCCAGGGGCGGCCTCAGAGGGCTCGAGGCGATCGGTCCGTTTGCGCAATGTCAGTCATCCAGCTCCGTCTTCGGGATGGAGACACTCGATTGACAGTGCCGAGGTTGATTCCCCGACGGCTGACGAGCCCGTGAACGCTGCCACAGCAGTGGACATAATTGCCGACGCTCCGCCTGCTGTCCCGACTCCCAAACCGAAGATCAGCCGGAAAAGATCGCGGCCGATCTGACGCACTCCCACGCGGTGCGGAGCCACCACTTGGGGCGCGTACCCCCTAGGCCCTAGTCTGTGTTTGCAGGGTGTAGCCCGTAGAAGGTCTAGTTGATCTCTCGCCATGCGATGTTCCTTTGAGAAATGAAATGGCCCATCGGAGGAGGACCGTGGACTGCATACCACGCCCCTGCTGCTGCAGTCAGGATGCCGACTTGTTATGTGGCTGCCTCAGAGGGGCACTGCGTCCGTGTTTCTCGGCGGTGGTTGTACATGCCTGTTTGCCTGCAGCCCTACGCCTCAAACCGAATAGTGTTCTGCCGGGAGCGGGGGGGCGACGACATACGTCGTCAGCCAGGTGGTATGTCCTCCGTCGATTGGCCTAGATGGGGTGGCTTCGGGAAACAAAACGTCAATCTGGCGGCGCGTGAGAATCCACTTCCTGGGGGTGGTCATAAAGAAGCACACTGGGCTAACCGCCCGTATGTGTGCACTACCCCAGGTTGTCCACGCACCTTCTTCAAGGGCCGGCACCGCCACTGCTGCTCCCTATGCAGTGTGGGGCAACACACTGATCGATGTGAGCGGCACGTTGCCCGGCTGATGCGCCGGATGCGGCGGTCATTTTTGTCCGCTTGCTGCTCCCCGAACTGCTCGAGAGTGGCGGGAGTCGGGCACACCCGATGCTGTGCTCCCTGCGACTATACGAATGCGGAGACGCACACCCCTCAGTGCCAGCAGCGTCAGCACCATCTGGTCAGCGGGCATGCCTACAGTACCACCCCTGAGTGGAGCGGCAACGGGAGCACAGCCACCGCTGACGAGAGTCAAGGGCAGGAACCTGCAGGTCGTCCGACGACCTTAGTACCCCATGATGCCCTGCCAGAGGCTGCTTCCCGGGAAGCGAGCGGCGAGCATGGCCTTGGACCGCGGATGCAGACATTTTACCCGATGGGGGGGCGACCTTCTTCGACTTGCGTCCCCTGAGCCACGACCTCGTCTAATGCTGCTGGTTTAGAGGATATGGATTGAGCCCCTGGCAAGCCGTCTGCGTCGGGACAAATGTAAACGCCGCCCGCTTGCTCTGTCTTCAGCCTCAACGCGTCACTAGTTGCGTCTGGCCAGGCTTTGCAACCACTTCAGTCGTACGGGCCTCAGGCTTGCTTCATCTCGGTGTTACAGGGCAAGGAGGGCGGTCTCTCGGTCCGGTGTTGGCTGCTCTTCTGTCGCAGCCCTCCCGTGCCTGGAGGTCGCACGCTGCCGCTACCGGCCGCGAAAGTAAGGCCACCGTCACCAAAAAGGGGAGGGTGGGCGCCCCTGCGTGCTTGCATTTGGCCTTGGTCCTTTGCCTTGGCTCAATTGATTTCTGCGTTTGCGTGGGCTCTCAGCACGTCGGCATACGACGACGTCTTTTCTCTGTTCCCTGATCAGCCCCGGCCTCTTGTGCAACATGGCAAGTTCGTGGAACGAGATGCCGGCCAATGTCAACATCCCTGGCTACGACATGTTCCAGGTTACGTCCTCCAGCGACATCGACCCGCTCTTTGTCACCTTTGCGCTGACCCTTGCATCTCAGCGCGGAGCGAACTGCGTGGTCTTTGAAGGACGCATTCGTCGGGCCTGCGTCAAGTTCCTTCCTGACTTCCTGATGATCCCAGGCGAGCGGATGCTGTCTCGCGCACGAGAACTGACGACGCCGGTCGGCACGGCTACCAGGCCTTCCTCCGTGAGGGTGCAGAGTGACCTTCGGCGCTCCTTCTGGCCAACAGGGTTTTTTGAAGTAGGGCTGTGTGGTACGCCACCGCGACCCGGATCCGGACCTCTCTCGCTCCGGCTGAAAAGGCGTGCTTCTAGTTCGCTCGAGTGTGCATTGCTCCCACCCTACTTCCGTGCTTGTCCCTTGGCTCAGCTTGCGGTGACATACGTCACCAGCACCCTCACCTTGCGCACCGCTTCTGCTCTCGGCCGCCCGGTCCTGCTATGGCGGCTTTGAACTTGCCGATGAGGTGGAGGCGCCTGGACCCGCGCATCAACGTTCGTCATGGTGACCTGTGTCATTTCGACCTGGCGGCGGACCCGGAGTTCCAGCTCACCTCGAGCGACGCCGACGTGATACTCATGGCGGCGATGAGCATGCGCGCCAACCTGGTAGTGATCGAACTACATCATAACTGGCACTATAGGCTGGAAATGAGACTGTGAGGGTATGGTTCAAGCAGGTGGCCAGCGTGGTAGAGCAAATTGCAAACCACCGCGACTGGGACACCAGTGGCCGACAGGGCTACCAAACCTTTTACTTGGGTTGATCGCACGGCGGCGGGAGTTGGGCCCTGGCCCAATAAGCCGGGCCGGTATCCGCCCCCTTTTTTGTAGTTTGTTTAGTCAACAGGCAGTGGCGGTCCAAAGCTTCATGCTCTACATGCCACTTGCTGAGAGAGGTTTGGAGTGCTCAAAATGTCTGTGGGGAGGGGGGAGGGTGGGGCATCGAGTTCTGCCCTGAGCCGTTTGCACGCTATGCTCTTACTCGCGGCTCAGGCGGCGACATACGGCGCCTGCCAAGGGTTGGGGCAACCTGTTCATCGGTGGTAGTATGCGCCATGGCTGTCCAATTGTTCTACACTCGCCATGTGGTCAGCGGTGTGGGTACCGAACTTCATCGACCCATACCCCTGGCTCTGGCGTCCATACAACATGCGATAGCGGGTATGGAGCACCTTCACCTTCAATTATACGA